TTCCGCTGCCCGGGTTTTCTGTAATCCAGCCTCTGATCAGTTTCAGCAGCAGCTGACTTGGGGATGCCTGGGGTTCTTAAGTTGAATCTGTAAGTAGGAACTGGCGTCCAGATTCAGCCTGTTGAGACTGATCAGCGGCTGATTCCAGGAAGCCCGGGGCAGAGCAACTCTGCCTCGGGCTTCCTGTAGTCAGCCGCTGGTCAGTTTCAGCAGTGGCTGAATCTGGATGCCAGTTCCGACTTACATACAGATTCAACTTAAGAACAAACGTACAGTCCCTATCTTGTTCGTAACCCGGGGACTGCCTGTATACTGTTTGTTGTTTTTTAAGTTTTTCCTATTACAGACTTAACCTTCAGAGGGATAGCTGACTATCTGCTCGCTGTCTTTTTTTCTTCCTCCCCTTCAACTTTTTTTTTCCTTCTCCTTCCTTCCCTTATTTATTCTTGGACCTGGACTTCCAGCACTCTGGTCATCTGAAGAAGTGGGTTGTGTCCATGAAAGCTCATAATACCATCTACATGCTTTGTTAGTCTACTAGTAGCACTTTAAAGACTATTTGTTGGTTTTTAATAATGGTGATGTTAGTGGTTGCACCATAAAGGGAAGGGGGGGGGCGTGTGGAGTCTCTCCCCTTACGATGTGTGAACTCAAGGACCTAGCCTTTTCCTAATGAAGGCAAAATCACCCTGTTAGTCTCATTTAGCATGGACGCTCTAATTGATAGCTTCAGGGGGTAGCTGAGTTAGTCTGTACTCAACCGTGGTCACCAACTGGTCAATCGATTGCGAGGGCTTGACCAGTCGATCGTGAGGTGTTCGGGCCACCCTCCTCCCCCAAGAAGCCCCACTACCTACCTCCAGCAAAAATGGAGGTAGTGCCTGCTTTCTGTGGGGTGGACAGAAGTCCTGCAGCTGTGGGGGCTTCCCTCCTCTTCAGGAAGGGGAGTTGGCCCCGGAGAAGGCACGAGCGGGGATTTCTCTCCTCTGCAGGAGGAGGGTCCTGGGAAGAGGCTGGTGCCAGGGACTCCCTGCCCCCACTTGCACCCTGTCCCGTGCTGCAGAACCCTGTCCCCTCTCTCCTGTTCCCCACTGGCACCTTGCCTCCACCCTGGCACGCTGTCCCCCTGCTCCCACTGGTACCCTGTGCCCTGCTGCAGAACCCTGCCCCCACCCCAGCACCCACTAGTACCCTTCCCCAGTACCATGTCCCCTGCTCTCACCAGCACAGTTGGGGCCACATTAGTGAGGCTTCGGGGGTTTTTGGCAGGAGGTGTGGTGTGGTGTGTGGGTGTGGTTTTTTTTCATCTCGTGTGGCCCCAACTAACTTTTCTGTGGGTCAGTGACCCCCGACGCAAAACAGGTTCCCTGCCCTTCTCATAAATAAAGACAATGCAGAAACTTTTTGTGTTTGACGTAGTATTTTTTTATGCGCACAGGCATCATAGACTCCTAGAACAGGAAGGGACCGTGAGAGGGCATCAAGTCCCGTCCCCTGATCTCACGGCAGGACCATCATACACTGAAACCCCCTGCCCTGAACCT